TCTCAAAAAAAAAAAAAAAAAAAGTTTGAGAACCCCTGTTCTAAATTAATTTTAAAAGTAGGCTGGGCACTGTGGCTCACACCTGTAATCTAGCACTCTGGGAGGCCAAGGCAGGTGAATGGCTTGAGCTCAGGAGTTCCAGATCAGCCTGAGCCAGAGCAAGACCCCACTTCTACTAAAAATAGAAAAATTAGCTGGGGATTGTGTTTAGGTGCCTGTGATCCCAACTACTCAGGAGGCTGAGGCAAGAGGATCATCTGAACCCAAGAGTTTGAGGTTGTCGTGAGCTATAATGACACCAGAGCATTTTTCCAGGGCAACAGAGTAAGACTCTGTCAAAAAAAAAAAAAAAGACCAGCTTGAGCAAGAGTGACCGATTCTACTAAAAATACAAAAATTAGCTGGGCATTGTGGTTGGTGCCTAAAGTCCAACCTACTGGGGAGGCTAAGGTAGGAGGATAACTTGAGCCCAGGAGTTTGAAGTTGCTGTGAGCTAGGCTGACACCATGGCACTCTATAGCCTGGCAATAGAGTGAGACACTGTCTCAAAAAAAATAAATGAAATAACTAACTAACCAAGCCTATCTTAGAAGAAAGCATAGGCATGAACAGCCTGGGCAAAATACCTTGTCTCTTACGAACATTTCTTTTGGAATTCTTTAGTCATAGGACTTAACCTCTGTTAGATCACCATTGTTTGTTTAACTTATTTCTTGTTAGACATTTGCAGTATTTCCCGTTTGTTTTTCTTCATTTTTGCTTTCAGAAAAGCAAAACTTTATATGGGGATTCTTTTTTTCTCTTTTTTTTGAGACAATCTCAAGCTATCACACTGGATAGAGTATTGTGGCATTATAGCTCACAGCAACCTCAAACTCTTGGGTTTAAACAATTCTCTTACCTCAGCCTCCCAAGTGGCTGGGACTATGGTGCCTGCCACAACGCATGGCTTTTGTTGTTGTTGTTGTTGTAATTGTCATTGTTGTTTTAGTTGGCCCAGGCCGGGTTCAAACCCACCAGCTTTGGTGTATGTGGCTGGCACCCTACCAACTGAGCTACGCTATGGGCACTGCCCCCTATATGGGGATTTTTTATTTTTTTATTTTATTTTATTTATTTATTTTGAGACAGAGTCTCAAGCTGTTGCCCTGGGTAGAGTGCCATGGCGTCACAGCTCACAACAACATCAAACTCTTGGGCTTAAGCAATTCTCTTACCTCAGCCTCCCAAGTAGCTGGGACTACAGGTGCCCACCACAATGCCTAGCTATTTTTTGGTTGTAGTTGTCATTGTTGTTTGGCAGGCCCAGGCCGGATTTGAACCTGCCAGCTCCAGTATATGTGACTGGTACCCTAGCTGTTGAGCTACCGGCACTGAGCCAATATGGGGATTTTTTTTTTTTTTTTTTTTTGCAGTTTTGGCCAGGGCCCGGCTTTAACCTGCCACCCCTGTATACAGGGCCGGTGCCCTACTCCTTGAGCCACAGGTGCTGCCCCTAATATGGGGATTCTTTTTTTTTTTTTTTTTTTT